CTATAGTTGATTGTGTATGTGTATTATAAAGTGTTTATTTGTAGACAATCAAGTAGAACATTTCTGAAGTCTGGTACTTTCAGGCAGGTCATATATTTATTGTTTTACATGCAATGTCTCAAAATTGCATGGAGGTTTGTATATTCTCAAGGATTAGACACAGACCTGGCTGTTTTCAAATGGAAGTGATTTTCAGATAATTGTTCTGGAAGGCATGTTGTCAATGTTCCCTCTCTTTCTCTTCCATCCTGTTACCTAAAGCCTCTCATTCAGATTTAACAAATCAATAGCATCTCTCAGCCTCTGCTCTCCTGTTCAAAACAGTGCTAGGAACCATCTTCAAATCATAATAGACCATATAATACCAGCAGAGAAAAAAAAAACACAGCTTCATCGAAAGTGTGTCAGTCTGACCTGGAGTCTGTGTGTGTGTGTGTGTGTGTGTGTGTAAGCATAAAGGCTGAGGTTTCTCATCAGAGCACATTTTGTGAGGGTCTAATGTGGGGTTTCAGAGCCATTACAGGTGGAGCAGGAGGGGTGTTTGTAGCCATGGCGCTCATCTTTGAGACGAAATCTCAGACAATCACTCCAATTTCAATTCAATGAGCTGGGCTGCAAAGAGATGAGGAATTTGTGTTTTCAGTTTTCTTTTATGTGCAACAAAAGCAAACACGGTCTTGTAAAATGAAAAAGTACAGTAATTTAAACTTTTTTAAAGAATTCAAAAGGCACAAAAGCTTTGTAATCTACGGAAAAAATAATTTGAAAGAAAAACATTTAATCTTTTAAACAAAGGAACTGTAAACATTTTCATGAACATTTAATGATTTTCTTTTCTCTTTACACAAAGAAAATCAACAAAGATATTTGCACTGATAAATATATGTTACATTTATCTAAAAATAATAGATTTGAAAGTCATTTTCTGACAAATGTGGAAATATTTTCCCAGTGGAACAATCTGCAGTTATAAAATGTCATGCAGCATTTAGGCTTTTTAGGATAAAGATCTCCGTTTCGCCTCTACTGTCCCACTTTAGCTTGGTTTCAGGATTTCATCCACAAAACTCTACCTATAGGAGCATCCTAAAGACCTCAAGCGGTTACAGCACCGCTATGAGTTTGAGGGTAAATTAATGCGATACGCGGTGGAATATAATGCACAGACGATTTGCAGGTGTGGGCGGCATTTTAGGAAGTGGGGATCTGTATGTGAATAAATGGGACTGTGCTGAAGTGATACAAAAAGATGCATTCAATACAAAGTCTGGTTAGGACACCTTTACTGCACATACACTGAAATGTGTTTCTTAAGATTTCTTTTAGCGAAGAACGTGAACAAAATCTGGGAACACATACCCTCAGTAGTAGTTGATATATTTCAGCAGTTGGTTAATTGAGCCACTGGAGAAGTATCTATAATCAAAAGTAGCCAGGAAAGAGAAAACGTAGGTTAAAACTTGTTTACAAAAATGTGGAGAATGGAAACAGACCTTGAGCACATTTGCCAATGCGTTTCCAAAGTGTTTGTATCGAGTCGACGCGTACTCAGTCCCCTACATTTTAGCGACTGACGCCATCTTCTGGTGGCATAACGACTTCACACGAGGCTAGTTGTAACTTTTATTTATTCCAGTA